TTTTGTCTTCGTTTGTGCACAAACTGTTGAGCAAATAGCATTCAGTGTTTTGCGTGCTGCCTGCTGGATCCTGCGTGCTGTGCTGGATGTGCGTCGCTCTGTCTCATTATTGGCCACACAGGTCACGTAATGTGGCTCAAATAAAAATCGACACCGAAACGGTTTAGTGATACATCGTATCGACTATACACTAGTGGAACAAATGTCAAAGTCCCAGCGGCCCCAGTTGCTCATTTGCATCGCTCCTAGGCTTGGTCCTGCCTGTGCCTTTCGGTGTATTCTTTTCATGCAAGTGTTTGTAACAGGCCAGCAATAAACTCGTATTTTATGCTTAGTTCTAGAAGCAACCCACGCAGATCCAGTTCCTACAAATAAAAGACATGAAAAATACTTAAAATCAATGTCCAGAAATCATCCACAAAATTTTTTACTAAATTTCCCAAGTTATAAAATTGAAAGAGTCCTCGAAGCACTCTCATATTTCTCGTTGTTTTCCCTTCTAGCGGGTATCCCTTAGTCGGAATGTCAACAATCTTCTACGAGTGAAATGTTCTTGCTTGTTCCAGCTTGTTTTGTTGCTTACAAAACCGAAAAAGGTAAATAACAGGAAACATTTTACACTAATTAGCGACGCACACAAATGGGTGGCTTTTCGAGTGATGTGGCACTGGTTGGCGGGTCGGGACGAGGGAGACTAAGAGCTGAGGGCTGTGTAAGTGGCGACGATTTCGTTTGGTAACTTGGTTTGGCCATAAAATTCACTGCCACAAGCCTAATCATGTCGTACTGCGCGCAGTTGTCGTTCAAAATCGTCTCTAAACCCACAGCAGCGGGGTTAAAAGCGGCAGGAGAGTGGTTTATTTTGCATTAATTAGGCAAGCACTTGTACTAGAATTTATTCATTGATGGTAGCAGTGGGTCAAAAGCTTGTCTAATATTTTATTTATTTTTGTCAGCCATCAAATCTTTTGCTAATAAAATATAATATTTAAAACCATTTTTAACTTCTATACCAGATGCCTAAGAGTGGCAAAAGGAAGTCAGGGAAAGGCAAATTCGAAATTAATGCCAACTACAAAGCAGTACCCAAATCTCGGGTAAAAAATGATGTGCCAAGCCTCAAAGGCAAGCGAAGGAAAGCGGAATTTATATTTCATTCGGGTCAGAAATGAGATCAAAGCCACAGACCATGGATTTTGTTGTTCATTTTGTTGTTTTGTTGTAAACTGTAAACCAAGCTAAATCGCCCACAATTCGCTGGTCGCTTTGCCATTGATTTTTGCCATCAGTCGAGTGCGTTTACGGGACCATTTCCATGTTGCTCGATTTGCCATAATTAACGTATAAATCTGCTCAGAGAAGTGAGACTGGAGATGGAGATTGGTATGCAGATTTTGGCCCAGTCGTTTGTCAATTTAATTACAATTTATTCGGCATTTTACTCCAACTGGACGAACAACAGTGCCGCCATTTCGCATGTTGTGGTCCGCTTTGGCACATTGCTTTTATTTATTTTAAACATATTTTGTTTGTGGCAATCATTTATGGTGTTTCCAGCACGACCAGCACGACCAGCACCACCTCTGCTGGTTTGATTTGTGTCGCGGTTTCACGATTGGTTTATCCGATTTTTGCATTCCTGAGCGCAAGAGATTTAAATTGAAGAATTATTCTAACAGAGCGATTTGCTGGCTGTTTTGCTACCACTTACTAATAGATAAATATTTGTATAAATATAAGTGAAGGCATGAGTGGGTGTTGGATATTTCAATATATTTATAAAGGAAGATCTGATGTCTTTGGTTTTCAGGCATCATTTACATTTAATTTCCACTCTGATGGCTCACCTTCCCCACACACACACTCTGCCCCACTAAAGCCCAAATCGCAGTCGTGCAATCCAGCTAAAATAATCCCCATGGCATAGTTACATAGAACATACAATCCAGACTAATTCCGAGTGCTACTTCTGCCTGCAGCAGGCCTATGAAAGCAGCCACGGGACTGACTCGACACAGACATTAACATTTTTTACGAGTGAGTTTCTATCTCTGTCTCTTTCTCTCCCTCTCTCTCTCTCTCTCTCTCTCTCTCTCCGTCATTGTGCGTCGCTTTGAGGAACTGTCGCAGTGGAGACGGAAAAGAGAGAACGACTAAAAGTTTATTACCACACGACCTCGAAAAACTGTAAAACTGCTGCTGTCATTCCAAAATTTATGTGAGTTTTGTGACCAACTGTACACACAACACACAACACACATGAGGCCCAGGTCCAACGTGCAGCAGAATTTTCTTTCGCCAGTCATGTTTATGATATGGCGATGGTGCAAATAGTTTGCTAATTTTTCCTTTTCGGAAATTAGAGCATAAACTTTAGCTGTTGGCGCTCTTAAAACTTGGCGCAGTCCCTCCCTCCCACTGCCGCACACCCAAAGCAGCACGCACATTCATATGCCAGACCAAAAACCAACACGCTTAACACTTTGGCATAAGAATCGCAGCTGCAGCTGCAACAACAACAACACCAAAAGCAAAAGCAATTTATTTGCTTTTCGTTAAAAGTTTTTCTTCTTTTTCTCCTTTTTTTTGGTTTGGTTTGGTTTGGTTTATTATTAACACCACACGCATATAACGCCAGAGAGAGAGAGATATGTGTGGGTTTGAGGGAATTTCAATGGAGCAAAGTTTTACTCTTTGGGGGGTTATTGTTGTTGCACTTTGGCTCCATCTCAAAGTAAAAGTTATGAGTTTCCACCCCCCCTGGCAAAAGTTTGCAGCACTTGCAGTTTTGGGGTTCCCGTTCCTGCCTTTGCAGCGCACTTGCCAGGAAGCTTTAATTACAATTCAGCTTAAAATCATATGCAAAACTTGTTTAATTGTTATCAATGTCAGGTGGTGGCCCCAAAAACTTGCTAAGCTTGCTAAGAGTGTGCTCACACGATCGCTCTAACTTGGAGTGGCCGCAAAAGTTATTTTTCAAATGGAATGCCATCCCATGTCATCACGTCAATTGACAGTTCAATTTTTATATTAACTTTGTCATCAGATTGCTGCTTCAACAAACATTTCAGTTTTTTACATGTCAATCAGCAAATTTAAATAACAAATTACAAATGTTGCGGAGTGGCATGGCCCGTAATTGTAGTCTTCAATTGATCATAAATCAGAGCATGGCGAATTCCTCGAACACCTTAACTAGACTTGTTCTAATTAAAATTTCCCATTGAGCCATTGAAAATGTTACCAAAATGGGAATAGTTTCAAATGGTTCATTTGGGGAATTTCATAAAATTTTTACCACTTCAAAATCGACTTCCACGAATGGCGCACTCGACCACTTGAATATTCTCGTGGCCTGAATGAATTTTCATGCTGATAGAGAGGCTTTTGCTGTGGCAAACAACACAATAAATTTGGCATTGCCCATTTTTATATTTGCACAACGCGCAGTGCAGTGCAGTGCAGCGAGGCAGTGGGAGTGGGAGTGGGAGTGGGAGTGGATATTGCGTATACGACGTGTGCATGCGAAATTCACGATATGCATTGACGGGAAATTGGCATTTTCGTTACTTTATTATTTTTCCGTCACCATTGCAGAGCTACTCTTTTATTGTTGTTGCTGTTGTCGCTTTCATTTCCCGCAACGGTTGCGCAAAGAGCAAAATAAATTACAAATTTTGACCAACTCAATCAAAATGATGGCCAGGCAGACAGCAGCTGTGAGCACTGCCAGTGGAAAGATAATCACTATAAGGAGTAAGTGGATTCGCCTGTTACTGTGCAATGTGCAACAGTTTGTGGCCAGATTTGGAGTAGGTTCGCTGCCGATCAAAGCCAGTTCGGCAAGCACAACAAACTTTGGCACACTTTAAACTTTAAACACACTCAATTAGATAAAATAAAATGTTTAGCTAACTTTTATTTCCGCCCTGCTACTGCCCTGGATGGGGATCACGACACAGCTTGACCCAACGGTCCAACTTTTTGACTAGCTGAAAAATGTCTGGCCAGCAACAGCAAAAAAAAATTCCCCAAAAAAAAAGAAAAAAAAAAGAGAACAGCAAAGTTTTTTACAACTTTTGGCAATTATCTCGTGAGCCAAAAGCCTGCCCATAAGCATACACCATATATAAGACGAGCCATGGCCCATAGCTCTTTAGTTTTATGCCTTCTTTATAAGAAGAAACGAACAACAACCATGCCAACAGTGAATTGACCCGTCAGCTGCTGTTGATGCCAACTATTATTAGACTCATACAAAAAAAACGCTCCAAAATGTATAAAAAGATAAAACAATTGCACACTTTCGAGTACCGAAACCCGCACTTAATTGTGCCAATAATGTGTTGGCTTTAATCCTTTAAGTGCTCTTCAGATGATTGCCGAATGTTCTCTCTTTTTTTTTTTTTTTGATTTTTTATTTGAAGTTTAAAAAATGCGAATAAAAGCTTTTAGAGTTCAGTTCAAGTGGGGCAGGAGTACACCAGAGTATATCAGAAAGTTAATCAAATATGTTGGAGTTCTTTGCAATCGCTGTGACAACTTTTTGTCAGCTTCCACACGTGTCAAAGGTGAGCAAAACTTTGTGTCCATTGTTAAGAGCAAAGAGCCGTGGCGTGTATTTCTCTTTTTATTGGAAACTTCCAGTGAGTGGCGAAGAGAGGAATGCTGTATTCATTTTCGAACATGCCCGTTAACATCAGGCAGACAACGACAAAGGAAAATCATGACCAAAAGGCACAATAAAAGTGCCCAAAGGGGACCGAGCAGGCAGGCGGCCGAGTAGTCAGCGATAGTAGCAAAAATGTCACCAAACAAAGCAAAGGCAAAGGCAATGCGAAAAACACGTTCTTAAATAGGTCACCATGGCGGCGTATGCTTAATGTCTCTGCCAGCGACTTTAATGAGCCCGACGACCCAGGCAGGGCCACGTGAGCGACAGGCAAAAACTGAATAAAAAAGGGAAAAGAGCAGCACAGATTCTAATCAAAGAAAGTAAGTGTCTGGGTGTCATCAAAAGAGAAAATAGAGAAAAGATGCTGCACACTTCTTGGTGCATTTCCTCAAGGTTCCTTTTTTGTCTTAACCAGTCTACTCCGCTGGCTTGCACGGCTTATGTAGTCAGCTTTTGTTATGCAAAAAAAAAAGCAAAGAAGAGAATGGACAAAATATGGGTAAAGAAAAGTGCAAAGAGAAGAAACGCATAAAAACTTGTTGAGATTTATCTTGCCACACGCGAAGAACGCTGCAAGCTGCACACTCAAGGAGCGCAGCACACTCCAGCATGCCACCCGAGTGTCGTCATCATCTAACTGCATTAGAGCTTCCGTTGCATACTTCACGGCGCATATGCCAGTTTATTTATGGCCCCTGCCTGCCAGCCAGCGCGCGCTCTGCAGCTCGCTCTCAGCGTGAGCATTTAAGCGCCTTAAAGTATGCACGGCACACACAGCTTTTGCGCCGCAACCTCTTGCCACTTGTTGTGGCATATGTGTGTATGCATGTTGCTGTTTTTGCCTCTCGCTGCTCTTGTGCGTGGGCTTACATTATGAAAATCTGTGGCAACGACAACACTTGACTGACTGAGTAGATACAATAATGTGCTCAAGTGCGGGCCAAGTGCGCACATGAGGGCGGCTATGCCATGTGGGTCAAAGGTTTTCAAAGCAAAGAAATTCATGAGCCACGCAGGAACTACGCGTCTTTGGGTTGCATAGAAGTAAAAGAAATAAAACTAAAAATAAAAATGAAATAAAAAGAATGAATGAAGTATTTGAACAATTATTTAGTCACAAAACTAAATGATTTCTGCCAATGAACATTTGAAAATGTACTTGGACAATCCTTTTGTTGAACCTGCCATAAGAGGAGAGGAAAGTGCCATCATATTGCGACCAATGTTTGTGCGATTCCTGTGGCAGCTGTCCACACACAACATTCCACGCTCAGTTGAGAAAAACAATGGTGTACAGCACACAATGTGGACAAAACAAAGCCCCAACAAAGTGCAAATACAAAACCAAAATCACACAAATAAATACACAATGCCTGTGAGGAGTACGGTAAGCCGAGCGATAAAATATTCGCCAGCATTCGAACAGCATTCACGGCACTATGCACTCATCGAAGAGAGAGAGAGAGATCATTGGTATGCACCAATAGAATGTAGTGTAGCATCCATGACTCTAAACAATGGCTGGACTTGGTAGGAAATAAAGTCCGAGAGGGTGAGAAAAATACCCTTTGGAAGGATATTCTTTAACGCAACTAATAGGCATGTTTTATTACATTATATTAACTATAATTATATTCAGTGATCACCTTTGAAGGGTCATCCTATTTTTGCAGCATTCGAAATATGATCCAGATAGCAATACAATTTCCCAGACCCAATAGCAGTGTGAGCTGCCATGGCCAACAATGGGAATGGTGTCAAACAACTGTTGAGTGTGTATCGCAGCATGGCGACTGTGTCCTAACTGAGCGGCAAACGCCGAAACAATTTGTATTTGTTAGAATTTAAATAACCGGAAGCGCCTACTCCCAGCAACAACGGATCTGCAACAGATTCAAGACAACAAAAATACAACAAAATAAAGGAAACCCTGAAAAAAAAAACAAATGCAAAACGGAAAGCGAAACAAGCAACGAATGACACAAAATGCTGCTCCAGTTGGTACTGTCCCGTTTCCCTTTTCATGGGGAGGGGAAAGAGCGAAGAGCTGAACTATCAATAACACTTAAAAGCTTTTTCAAATATTTCCCACCCGTTGTTTTGTCTGTTTTGCTTCATTCTGTGCATTTGTTAGTTTTGGTGCTGCATCTTTTTTTTTTCTTTTTCATTTATTACTCCAAATGGTTTTGGTTCCTTTTGCCTCTGCTCGCCTCGATATATATTTAAAAATGCAATTTTGCTCATGTTGAAATGAAAAATATGCTACATTTGGATCTACACTAGGGAAAGGCGAAGCAACAGCAATGTGTATTTGTTCGTTGCAGCATCATAAAATATTTGCCGAGCTGCATAAGCATTTCAATATTTATTGATAAATGCATCCGATGTTGTGTAGATTTTTGGTATATTTGTTGAAAATGTTTGCCATACAAAGGGGGCGCTGTGAAGCGTTGAAAGTCTTTGGGGAATTTCCCTGGCAGCCATCGCTGATGATTGCGAAAATGTTTTCTTATTTTTTTACAAATTCAAAAAGGCTTTCTGGATATTTTTGTAAACCTTAAAAGGTAATAGGTTTGTGGCTTTTGCCTTTCTCATACTTTTTAGCACCTTTTTAAAGCCGATTAAAGAACTGAACAAGTTATTTTAATGCAACCCAAAGCTTACAATTAATTTTTAAAACGAAATCCTAAAAAAGTGTAATCTTTTTAACAACTCGCACACACGCGGCGCGCCTCACACAAAAACCCTAACATACGAGTGATTTTAATTAATTTCAAGAAAATAAAACAAAATGTTAAACAAACGAACGACAACAATGAAGCAAATGCAATTGAAAAATGCAAAATGTTTCTACAATTTCCATTACGTGAAAGTTTTTGGACCACTAAGTGGCCGCAAAACAAAATTTGTGTGCATTGGAGGCAGACATTAAATCCAAATTAAATCCCAGTTTGAAAAGCAATTTGAGCTCTCTTTTTGTTCGCCAACAGATGTTTATCATGCAGAATTGGGTCAACCAATTCAAAATCTTTTGTGGGCATGCATACATTAAATTTAGTTAAATTAGGTTACACTTAGTTAATGCAATGAACTTGGCTGGTAACCAGACAAACAGGCACTGACAGCTGTAGGTCTCAATTAGGGCAGAGGTCTTAGAGCAGTCAATAATCTAATTGTACAAAGCAATACAAACCATATTCAAACTCAATTAGCTCCGAGATGTAACACAGTGCGGGTCAGTGTACAATTTAGCAGCCAATATTTTAAATATATTTCAACCCTACAGCACAAGTTCTTTCGTGCCATAAGCTTGTTTATAAATTTAATTTCTTTGTTTGGGGGTCTAAAAACATTCAGATCGTGGCTCAGAATGGATAAGATGGGATTCAAATCATCCATCGGAATTAATACTCCTGGTAACACCTTCCTGAAAGTCTCTGTACTTCCCTGCTGTCCAGCGAACAGTACTCTAAAGTGTTGCAGTCCTTACGTTGTAGGGTGTTTTGTGGCTACATATAAAGTATATCCGTGTCTATTTGTTAGTACTGGTGTGTCCACGGGCCATGTGCCGTGCCTGGCCAGACGTTTTATCTGACCGAGCGGGTCAAGCATCAGTTCATTTTATTGACATAAATGTTTATGTTTATTTGTCTGTGTTTAAGCCTTAATGTTTATTGTATTGTTGATCCCGTCTGCCGCCGTGCCCTCCGTGTTGCTCTTATTCCTGTATATTATTGTCCAAATAAAGCCAAAAACAACAATCAAACAAATATACAAAAGTCGAGTGTGTGTTTTACAAGTGTTTGTATGGACACCACCCAACCCACCCAACCCGCCAGTCATGGAATATTGTTTCAGTGAGTGTGTGTGTGTGTGTGTGTGCTTGGCGTGGCATTTTTAAATTAATTTAATTAAATTTGGCTTGTTGTTGCAGTTAATCGTTGTTTAATTATATTAATTCCTGAGTGTGCAAATAAAACATACATTTACATTTACACAATTTATTAAAGTAATGGGATTGTAATTATAAATATTTATCCAACAGCTTGTAGTCATTTCGGACTTTGATATTGTTAAAGATATTATTTGATTTTCTATTTTTAAGCTTTATATACTTTTTATTCTTTGTACATCTTTTTTAAATAATTCCCTTGATATTAATCCCTTTTATTAAGCTGAACACAAAGGACGTGAAGGAGGCAATGCCGATAAAAGCTCGACTGGCGGGTAGACAACTTTGATATATTCGTACGCCAAAAGCTCTATTTTCGGTTCTAAAAAGCGTTTTAGAGCTTTGAATCGTTTATTTGTTTAGCTTCGAGAGCCTTAGAGTGAGAACTTTTGTACCAAAAACACATAAAAAGAAACCATTAAGAACCATTTGCTGTGCTCTTTGTTTTGTTCAATTAAATGTAGATTAAAATCACGCGTTTAGTGTAGAACCGTTTTTATTCGACGAACATTTGTATTAATAGTAAAATGATGACCGTTAGACAATTACAATTGAAATTTGAAAATTCGCAAGAATGTCAGAGTGTAAGTATTGGTAAGTTAGTATACGTGTGAGCCTTGAATGTGCATTAGTTAGTTAGTTAGTACATATGTATTAGTATCACTTTGATTTTTAACTCATTTAACTTACTAAACGTTACGGCTTCGTTGTGCTGCAGAAAGGAGAAGGAGGAGGACATTGTTATCCTCAAGGGTAAACTCAACCCATGGTATTGGACACATGCTTGTTGCTGCTCGGCTGTGGTGCTTCGTTGGTGACGCACGTGGGTATGGCGCTGGACCATTTGCCGTTCTTCATGCACTTGAGAACCTTGGAGCCGCGCAGGTCGAGGCCGGCGTCGCAGGTGAAGGTGATGCTCTCGCCGATGGCGTAGTAGAACTTGACGGAGGACATGCGACCGCTGATGACGGTGCCCGGATACGAACAGGCCTGCACACACTTGGGCAGACCGCCTGACCAGCGGCCGTTATCCTGACAGGCAATTATTGGCTGACCTTGCATCATGTACTCCGGGTTGCAATTGAACTGGACCACATCGCCGGCACGGTAAGGTGCCGAGCCCTGGGCGTAACCGTTTTGCGGCGCACCGGGATTATCGCACTGCACCTCAACACATGTGGGGAATGGCGACGACCATTCGCCCGTCGGGTTACAGATGGCCTCCGAGGGGCCGCGCAAGCCATAACCCGACGCGCACGAGAACGCCGCACGCCCGCCCACCTCCCGGGACAGCACGGAGACGCGCGGCGAGCTCACATTGTTCGGCAGCGGTATATCTCCGCACTCGACGCTCTCGCAAACCGGCAACGGTGCGCTCCAATTG